ACACTCGCGGCTTTACGACATCACCTTCCTTACACCTAGAGCCGCTCGCTCTACGGCCGGAACCTTGTTGCTAGGGAGAGGACGGTTTGCGGCAACCGTAGGAGCCGCTGAGTTTGAATCGGGGGGGAGAGGGAAAAGTTTCCCTCAGGTGTCGGGGGACGGGGGAGGGGGCGTTAGGAGACTGTGGGGACGTGGCCAGAAGGGCGACAGGCCGGCGGAGTGAGAAAGGTAAAGTGGGAGGCTGCGTGGCGATCCGCCTCTGAACTGGCCACGCCCGCCGCGGCCGCCTGGGGCGCGTATGGGTCTGGCTCCTTCTGCTGGGGACCCTGTGCCCTCAGAGCTGCGCCTCCGGGAGACGGAGCCACCTGCTCTCCCTCGTCCCCGAGGTGGGGCTGCCCCCCCACGCATCGTTTGTCCGCTCGGCGCTCCCCGGGGCCCGGGAGAGGGTCGTGCCTGGCTCCCCGGGGAGTCCCGGGATCAGGGGCACGGCGAGGGGCGGCTTTGGGAAGCCCGGCCTCTGGCGGCGAGGACACGCGCGTCGCGAGAGCGCTACTTGACTCCCTCCCTTCCACGGACGCGCGGGTTTCCCCCGAGAGACCCGGGCTAGAGAGTGATTTCAATTAGGTTGAACTTAAGCTGGACCCAGAGAGAGACGACAAGTTCCGCTTGCAAGCCGCCTGGGCGGTAAGCGGAATGAGTAATACCCACGCTGTCCCTGTCTCACTTCCTCATGCGCGGGCCCTCACCTGCTGTCACCTCGGCCTCCCCCACCCCGCCGCCCCGCCCTCCTCCCCGCTGTCCCCTTAGAGTAGGCTGTAGGCGTCAAGACTTAGAGTTAAGGTATCGACAGGCCACGATTTACCACCTAAATAGGCAGTTACCGCCCTATGGGACCTTAAGGCAAGAAACAGCGGCCGCACGTGTAGCCTTTGAGACTGATAGATTGCTGATCCTATCTCGAGTCCCTGACTTTGTACAAGTTTGGGGATTTCTGAAAGACCGCGTAGATAACACCACAAATACCAAGAAAGTCGTCTTCAGTATTCAGTAGGACTTAGCTTTCCGCTCCTTCCCCCTCCCCCATTCAAGTGAGGGACTGTCTTTGGGACCAACTTTATGGAATAAATGAGCTGAGCTGTATTTCAGATAATATAGTTATGAATTAACTAAGAGTTATTGATAGAGAAATGGAGGAAACTGAAACATGACATAGAGTATTAGAAGTAACATAGTAAGTCGCCCAGCACAGTGCTCTCACATAGTAGGTGTTCGATAAATTTATGCCTATAATTTTTGTTATACCTATGGCAGGATTCTTTATTATGTTAAAATAGTCTTTTGAACACCCTCCAGAATTTTAGAAGATGCATTAATAATCTCCTCAAACCTTTCAACTGAAATAAATTTACAGCTGAAGTCTGGTAATTTAAAATTAGAAAGTTTAATCCTGAATATAGATGAAAATTTTCTCTCCCACGTTGGCTTTGGCATTTTGAGAAGTGAATGCGTTATTTATTGGTGCATGAAATGTGACTGTAAATATTCTGTGCTATACATTATGTCTGTATATCTACTCTCCTCAGTGCCAAGACTAGAATCGTTATTCCTACTGATCATTTTAAGTACAGGCAGTCCTCACTTTTCTCAATACCATGTTGACTGAACGTGTGCATGTCAGAACCAGAACCGTGTCCAGGCTTTGCTTGGTTCACGTTTTTCTTCCTACCCTCTTAAGAGCTGTATCATGTTCTTCAGTTGCCTTCTGATTCAGGTTATAGACTTTGTCTTTTGCTAGCAGCGCCGCCCTCCCTCCCCGCCCCCCCCCCCACAAGTAACTTTTTTATAGCTACCCTAATTTCCAATCAGAAAGGAAAAAAAAAAATACTTTCTAACTGTAGCACAGGAAGTATCCTACATGCCATTTTCTCTTTCTGAAGTGCCTGTCCTGTACCTCCCTACTAAGCTTTCTTCAGTGTTCATCCTCACCTTGAAATCCAAGAGAGAAAGTGAAGGGACAAGCCAAGTAGAAGTCATTTTCTGCCTTACTTTAGTGGTTACTAGTTTAGTTAGCTTGGGCCAGACTTTATTTAACTGTGTGGACAGATACACTGTTTTTTTTGTTTTTGTTTTTGTTTTTTTGCTTGTTCATTTCTGTGCCCTCATCACTTAGCAGAGTACCTAGTCACATAGTAGATGCTCAGTAAGTAAATATTTATTAAATCAATCAATATTGTTGACCTTTCCTGAATGTTTTTGGCTATAAAGTAAGGGTTGTTTATCTGCTTTCATCACATTAGTTCTAAGGAGCAGTTGAAATGGTGGATGTAAAAGCTGTTTACTGTCATTTATATCCTGCATTATTTTGAGGTTAATTGCTCTTCGTTTTAGATAGTCCATAATCATTTTCCCCAAACGATTACCTCTGCTCACTCCTATTTTTAAAATATGCACAGGAAATATTATTCATATCCCAAATCTAATACAAATTTTTAATTTTGTAAACCTGTAATAATTACATATGTTATAAATTGAATATTTGATTAATACACTTTTTTTGCTGTAATGTTTCCAAAATTATTGAAATCTAGACTGGAAAGAAAGCAGACAAAAGTAAATCTCAGAATAAATCGTTGTTGTAAACCTGATGCATATTGTAATGGTTGCTTCTTACACCTCTTAAATATAACTAAAGAAGTGGAAAAAATCTTGAGTAAATTTAAAAAAGGAATAGATTTATTAAAATTTAGACTTATTTAAATAAAAGATGGTGGGGATACTAATAAGAGTTTAACATGTGTCCTGTATTGTTGGTTTTTAGTAATTGTGGTGCCATCACACGTTTTCAATGTATACTCCTATTTTTAACGTCAATGAAATGTTAACACTGTGCTTCTAGCGAGCACTGGGATTGCATATGCTGAAAGGGAGGTATTCTGCTAAAAATGAATTACTATAATCTTTTCTAAATTTACAGGGAAAAATGTAAATGGATAGAATATTTTCAATATTAAGTTTTTTCCTATAAATTTTTCATGAACCCTTTGCACCTATTTGCTTTCCATAGAAGATTTATGTATTAGGATAAAATTTGACATAAAATCATTTTAAGTTTAAAATGTAGGTGTTCATGGTGTTCCACATCGAGCATGTGATTTCCATGTACCTTACTTCCTGAATACATTTGAGAAGTATAACTTATAATATGATTCTGTAATCTTCATCAAAATAAAAAGTTGATTATTTTCATGGAAGGATAACATATTAATTAATTAAATTAATGACATTAACATGTAATCTTAATCTTAGAGCTTTGCAGGAAAAAAAATTTGATAGATGTTATCCATCAAATTTAGAATCCCCTGAAGTTGCTCCTCAGTCTTTGGCTCAAGAGTAACTCTGGATATGTGGTTCACAATGACACAAAAGAGAGCAGTAGTCGTTTCACTGCCTGCAATTTCACCAGATTCTACAGTCCCTGAGTCAAGAAGGAACCATGACTAGGGGGTGATGTAGAACCAACAGTCTTTAGGACCCACATCAGCTTTTCTAATTAAGCCTCCCGGGAGGTAATAGTAGGGACAGATGTTTTCCGCAAACCTCCATGTGGTTTTATTATATATTGCACTACAAAATGGTTTTACCCCTGCTGGAAAATAAGACTCCTATTTTTAATATGTCAATAAAGTGTTAACACATGGAGCTTCTTATTTGGGGGGCAACTTTTAGAAACATGTCTAATATAGCGAGATGTAAGTATAAATAAATGTAGAGAGAGAGATTTGAAGGATATTAATGAACATCCAAAAGTTTGTTGTTAGTGCTGTGGAGTGGATTCCAACTCTTAGCACCCCTGTGGACAACAGAGCAGAACCCTGCCTGGTCTTTCTGCTCCATCCTCTCACCTTCTGGTGCTGTATCAGACAAGGCTCCACTGCTGTTCACAGGGTTTTCATGGCCAGTGTTTTCGGAAGTGGGTAACCAGGTCCTTCTTCCTAGTCTCTTAGTCTGGAATCTCCACTGAAACCTGTCCACCGTGGGTGACCCTGCCGGTATTTGAAATAGCGGTGGCATAGCTCACAGCATCACAGCAACACGCAGCCGCCACAGTAGTACAGCCGGCAGACAGACACATGGTGTGGTTCCCTGAGCAGGAAAGGAACCTGGGCCACAGCGGTGAGAATGCTGACTCATAACCACTAGACGACCAGGGCTGGCACCCAAAATGTAAAACTAATCTTTTCCATAAAATCACAATAATTAAGACAGATTGCTTTCAAAGGCTAGCTCCACAGAAGATAGATTATAGTTTCTAATATTGATATCACTTATGAACATGATTAGAATTTTTTCTGTACTTAACTATAGGTAGGTAATTTGTACTAGAGAGCGCAACATACATATTTTGGATTTGAGTGAATTTTAAGTATCTACAATGATATCAGGCGTCTGATATCTGGTTCCTGCTGCTGTTTTTTCCCTCTTGCCTCCACGTATTTCTTTTCTCTGGCATCTTGACGACTTTGAGCAGCTGACTGATTCTGTTACAGTATGGCTGGTATCTTTGACCTACAGCCCTGGCCTTCTATATTCCATGGATCCTCAGTTACAATCACTGCTACTGTTCAATCCTTGGACTATGTGTATTTAGAATATTTGCAGTCAATAACAGGTTTTACATGTCCTGCCATTGTGTTAAACTCACAAGAAAAAGTCAGCAATAGGAGATACCCTGTGCTTAAATATACCCACAACTTTAAGATCCCTGGTCAGACCCTTCTCATCCTTTCATCTTGTGCCTCTATTTCTTTACTCACTCTCCTTATCATACTTACATA